TCCAGGATCTCTAGGGCCAGGGGGATGTGCTGTGGTGATTTCCAGACTGTAGGTTTTTTTCCCCCATGATGACGGGATCCAGAACCCTGTGCTTGGTTCCCACCCTCAACAGTCTTCGAGGATCTAGAGACTAGATGAGGCCTTTGGAGTTCCAGTTTCACTTTGCAACCAGTAGTTCCACTCAACCTGGTGGCTGTCATCCCCTCCCCCACTCAGTTCTGGTGATGCTGTGACCACAACAGCCCAGGCACTCTCTCCTCATCTGCTGACTCATGCCTTCTCATCACTCACGCAGGCTCCCCCATCAGGAATATCACCCTGCCTGCCCCATACTGCCCCCACCTGGGCATAGCCTCCCCACTGGGTCCTACATAAGCATGGAAGAGTCTGCTCAGGCCAATCTAGAAAGTGCTGACTGGGAGGTGAGCCTAGAGGACAAAAGGGAATGCAGGTGAGAATGCCACTGGAGATAGTGAGCAGTGAATGAGGGTATGAGAACAGGTGTGGATGCAGGTGAAAATATAAGTAAAGGTAAGGGTAAGTTTACGGACAGACATGTAGGTGGGTGGCCAGGTGAGGATGCAAAAAAATGCAGGTGGATGTAGTTGAGGATGCAGGTAAGAGAGAAGGTAAAAATTCAGATGAGAATGTGAGAAAAATTCAGGTGAGGATGCAGTAAGAAGGCCAGTAAGCAAGTAGGTGAGAACTCAGGTGAGGGGGCAGTGAGCTGCAGGTGAGGATGGTGAGGGCATAAGTGTACAGGCAAGAATGCAAATGAGATTCTTGGGAATTTCAAGTAAGGACTGAGCTGAGATGCAGGTGAGGCAGCTAGGGAACAGAGCTGTTGCTTTCCATCGCACAAAGACCTCCAGACTTTGGGAGATCACATGGAATACAACTGAAGCTTTATTGGGGTGTGTCCTGGCAGGGGGCTCAGTTGGGACAGCCAAAGACGATCATGTTCTCTCTGAAGCTGGCCAGGTCCCTGCACAGCTTCTTGTTCTCATCGTCTTGGCATTCGTCCGCTTCAGGCCACAGCTCTACCCAGGTGTCCTTTCTGATGATGTACTTGATGCTGGGGAGGAGGGACACACGGCAGGTCAGGAGGGGCCCTGGAAGGGTGGGTGGGGCGAGCACACACATGTGCAGGGGGGGCACTCACTTGGATTTCTCTCCCCACAGGTCTGAGGAGGGGCCCCATATGAGGTAGTGTTTCCCCTCCTGCATCTTCAGGGATGCTCTGCAGTTCACGTGGCTGATGAACCTGCGCTCCTGTTCAGGCTGTACCTTGTCGGTGCCTGGAGGATTACAAACACCTTTGTTCACTCTCTTGCACATACCCAGCCCAGTCATAACCATGGTTCCCCAGCAAGCATGGCCTCTAATAACACACACACTAGTCACCCACAACCATAGCCTGAAACACATGGACCTGTGGCCACTCACAGCCAGTCACACACACAACCAAGACCATACCTGCCATCACATAGTCACACCCACACAACCACAGCCACACACACCATCACTCACACACAATCACACTTGCACGTGTGTCTCCCCACCCCCTCCTCACCATAGTCCACTCCTGGCTCACAGGCCTTGACCACCCGGTCTTCTGGGGTGACCTGGTCATCTGACTGGTGCGTGAAACAGTACTCTGCGGGGTGGATGGACAGGGGACATGACCTAAGATCCACTACCCATCCAGGGCCCACCACCCATGGGTGTGGTCAGTCCTAGGCCCATCCCTCTTGGTATCCCCTGGGTGTGGGCTTTTGGGGCCCCTTGCATCACTGCCATGGAAGGTGTGTGTGTGAGAGGGTGGGGTATTAAGTGGGCATGGACTTCCACTTCCTGGCTCCTGTGTACCCACCCTCAGCACAGCCGCATATTTCATTGTGGCAGAGTTTGCTCAGCATTCCGTCTTCCTTCTCTGGGTGGTAGAACTGGGTACAAGTCTCATCTGTGGGCAGAGGGAGTGGGAGGGATCAGAGAACTAAAGCCTCCACCCAAGACCATGCCTGCGGGGCTCAGTTCCCAACTCCAGTCCCTCAGACCTGGAGATGCAAGGTCCTGAACCCTGGGACTCCCAGGTCCCCAATCACCAAGCCCTGGGACCCCCATCTTATAGAACCTTGGGACCCTCAGACCCCAGGCCTGAGGTTGGCTGCTCACCCAGGTTGTAATAGGAGTACACCTTGACTGCCCCTGGCTGGATGAGCCCCACATTAAAGAACTGGTGAACTTTGAAGGATACACAGTCCTCTTGATCATGTGAGATCTGGGAAAAGCAGGAGGTGAGTCAGTGTCGGGGAGTCCAGCATAAGGAGAAACAGGGGACCAAGGGGGATCTGTGTGGAGAGGATGGGTGGGTGAGAAGTGACAAAGATTAATGAGCAGGTCAAAAAATCTATTTTCTTTTTCTCCAAGGTTCATGGCCAGATTACACTTCTCAGCCTCAGTTTCCATTTGGTGTGACCATGAAATTGAATTCTGGCCAACAGACTGCTATCTGTGCCCCTAAAAACATCCCATGGTTATCAATACTTCACTGCATATTTGAAAGCTGCTAATATAGTAAATCTTAAAAGTTATCACCACACAACACGTTAATACTATGAGGTTGTACATGTGCTAACTAACCTTACTGTGGTCATCAATTTCCAATATACTTATATCCAATCATTGCATTGTATACCTTAAACTTACCCAATGTTATATGCCAATTATATCTCAATAAATCTGGGAAAATAAATGAGAAAGAAAAAAAGGAAGGAAGGAAGGAAGACAGACGTGTGTGTATATGTGATATACATGTATACTTGGAGGAAATTGCTAACAATTAATGAATCTGGTTAAAGGGTATATGGAACTTTTTATACTTCTCTACAATATCTCTGTAGGGTTGGGACTCCTTAAAAAATTAAAAGTACAAAAATGAAAATGAAAACAAATTTAAAACCCATCTCATGCACTATCAATCCTCTTTTCCTCTAGAAGAAATGGATCAAGAGAGGACTTTAAGACAAAGACCAATAGAGAAGGAAAAGGCCAGCCACATATGGGTCAAGGTCCCAATGGAAGCCTCACCTTGTTCAGGTAGATGATGAGGGTGTTCTTGTTGGAGAAGGCCTTGTTGTCCAACTCGAACTTTGAGATGTACCTGTCAGTGCCACTGCTCAGCTGGAGAAGGGAAGAGCTTGTGAAAATCCCTTCCTTCCCTCAGCCTCTGCCAGGCCCCAGGCTCCTTCCCACCATTCCTATCCTTTGAGCCCAGGATTTTCACACCTGCTTGAGGTCAGCAGTGTCAGGAGCAAAGCCAGTCATCATGGATATATCCAGGATGGACATAGTGGCATCGTGGTCTCCCAGGTACCTGGATGGGGCAGGGAGAGAGGGTTAGCCCTAGGGGTCAGTGCCTGGACAAGGGAATCTGATCAGTGAGTGAGGCTTCTGGTTCCCACACAGCAGCATAGAGGATGCCAGATCTTAGGAAACACTCCCCCAAGGGGAATAAAGGAAAGGTATGTAATGGTTAAGGCAGCTATATCCTCAGCCTCTGAAGCCCAACTACATGGGTTCACATCCCAGCTCTATGTGACATTGGATGAGTCACTTCACCTCTTCGGGCCCCAGTTCTTCTAGGAAACGAAGACAAGAGTACAGGCAGGTCTCACTTTGCATGATTCCATTATCACGGTCTAGTTCAATAACACCAGCCCCTCAGCGACACGGTCTAATTCCAGTACCACAATATATTAATGAGCAAACGCCTAAAGGACAAATCTAGTTGCCAGCTCTTCAGTCCATCCATCACAATGTAAACAAGTGAGCATTACAATCAATGATCAATCACATCACTTATTTCAAAGTCTGTCAGTGGTGGGTCACTGAGCACCCGTCATTCAAGCCACGTGTGTGATTGTGTTGCTTCCTTCTCTCTCAGTAAAAAACCATGTGAGATTTTACCAAAATGGATCATTGAAAGGGAATGGCCAAAAATGAAAGTGCAGCACAGAAATGAGAGTGGTAACACTGGTAGTGAAATTTCAGCAGCACCTAAACGGAGTCAGAGAAGAAACAGCAGATGGTGGAATGTGGACCTGCTGCCCTTGGAGAGACCATCATGGGGGCAGAGGCACTTAGTGAAGGCAGGGCGTCAACATAAATGAAGAAAGTGGTTGTGGCCAAAAATGATGTCCCAGAGGAGGTGACACTGGAAAACATTTCACGGTGAAGGAACTCTTAAATACCTTGTGACATTAAAAGCTCAGAGGATTACATGTAGGAAGTTGACCTAAACTTAGAAGGAACATGACACTTCACAGCATCATAGAACAGCTGCTTGCTCCATATCGTAAGTGCTACAGAGAAGAAAGGAGGCTCTGTTCAAACCACAGGGCTTTGGACAGTGATGGCGAACCTATGACACGCGTGTCAGAGGTGACACGCGAACTCATTTTTTTAGGTTGATTTTTCTTTGTTAAATGGCATTTAAATATATAAAATAAATATCAAAAATATAAGTCTTTGTTTTACTATGGTTGCAAATATCAAAAAATCTCTATATGTGACACGGAGTTAAGTTAGGGTTTTTCAAAATGCTGACACGCCAAGCTCAAAAGGTACGCCATCACTGACCTATACAGTAGTGGGAAGATAGACTTACTAAAGGGTTGCTCAGTAGAAAAGTCGGGTTAGAGCTGTGATGGCAATTTGAGATCCTAATAGAGGGAATGACATATGCAGAGATGATAAA